CATCCATTACGCTACCGGGCGTTAATAACATGGTAAAAAGAAAGGCTGTCGGAAATGCTCTATTTCATCGACCTGACCCTCCAATTTGCGCACATAAGATTTAGGGGAACGGAATCTATAAAAAAACTTAAAGGCAGTTGGCACGATGGTTTCCCCTTGGCCTAAAATGCTAGTAGGGCGCTGTATAGTGGGGAAATGGCGAAAGAACGGAGTGAAACGGTCAAAATCCGGCGAAGAAAAAGCCTCCGTTCTCAGTGACTTGTAAATCGATTTCGGACGAGTTTCCCGTACGCATCTTGCCAATCACCGCTACCGAAGATACGGCTGCATATGTGTACCCATATATGCATGCAGCATCACCGCCGCTTCATACCAATCCCTTTGCTTCATAATTTGCTCAGCAAATGAATGAATACGAGCGTCAGAAACGGTCGTCCGTTTGTGGGCGGGCGGGCAAGGAAGGCGTTTGGGACGTAAAGTTGTTGCTCAATAGGGCGTTATAGAGGTACCCTCCTTGGAAAAGGCTTCACGCAGCGCCTGTCCGAGGTCACGGAATTCTGTTAAGCCAGTTGTACAAATCCTACACCTGTATAGCGATTTATCGTGCCAACTGCCTTTAACCATAAAAGGACTCCCTTATAAAGCAAGGAAATCCCTGCCAAAAAGTATGAGATTCAATGGCAAGTTTTTTAATCCTAAGCGTGAAATGTCGAGTGAGGAACAAAACGCCACTACTTATGGAGTAACCCATCAGTTCCTTGAACAAGACAATATGGAACACTTACCAAACAGAATGCCAACTTCTTTTTGATATCCATGTTCGCTATGGGAATCACGGCATAGCAGAGTGGTCTGAAACGTGAGTTAAGTTAAGGTCGAGTTAAATTAGGAGTACTTGCAAAAGCATCACCTTCGTTGACAGCATAAAAATCGCACAAAGCAAAAAAATATCAATAGAGAGCGAAAAGGGGAAGCAACGTAACAACCACCTTCGCCCTCAGGCTGATAGAGCGTTGCGCTTTGGTAAACGGCCAAGCACACGATACAGAAGGCACAAAGCAGGTCGCTATAAGGCTTCGTTTGCGGGTGGCTGTGCGAACGACGGCAAGTTGTGGTCACTCATCTGCTCAGCTCTCGCATACATACTGACCCTTATCTTCATGCCAGGCCGCAGAAAGTAGCAGGCCACCAGAGTCAGTGCGCCTTATCCGTGTCGACAGGGAACATTTCAGAATTATTTTTGTTGTATCTTGTCGGATATATAAGGCGGCGTTTACACTTTGCCCCAGCGTACGCCGGTGTATGGCAGCGTTTCGAAAGTCACTCAGCAACTAGCGGAAAAGTATAGGTATGATCATAGGTATTGATCTAGCGTAAGCCAGCATGTTCCAGCATTTTCGCAGGCAGTTCTGCCCGAGCTCAAATTGACTCGAGAACGCTGGCGTACGCTAATTCGGTATCTATAATTTCCTAGTCGCTAGAGACGCTGCCGTGTGCTGGCGTACGCTAATGCAAAGTGTGAACGCAGACTTAGTAAATTCATGCATAGACTTGATAACTATTCTTCGATCAGAACTCCACACAGCAAAGCGAAAATGCGCGCTCCGTCACACCCTTTCCTACCGTGTCGCAAAAAAAGATGAAAAATGGAAAAACTTTAGTGAAAATGGAAAGTGACTTACGTTTCATGAGTTGGAGGTGCTGTTTTGGGTTTGCTGGGTGAGATGGTATGGGAACAGTTGTCGGACCTCTTCGAGGTGGCGCTTCATTACACGCCGTGTTTTCTGGAAGTTCTTCTCCATCTGGTTGATTTAAATCTTCTTGAGCAGGTTCTGCATGAATCGAATTGAGATGAACATCGGGAATCTGAAATCAAAAATCTAAAATAGAATAAACAGATCAACCCATACCGCAGAAGCGGGAGCTTGAGAAGCTCATGGTCGCCTGAAGTTAAGGGTGCTAATACCCTTTGAGAGAACGCATCTGGGAAACTTCATGCAAAATTGGGGTTACCCTTATTAGGTCAGGATTACTGTATCTGGAATAGTTCACCAACCCAGAAGCTCTTTTCCCTCCATTTTTGAACAAAAGTCTTCATTTTGTTATGAGAATATCTTTTTTGAGCAAGAAGCTCCTCAAAGCCTCACACCCAAGATTATGCGCCGCTCATAAGAGCTCACACGGAGGCCGCGTTCACACCTCGCGTTTCTAGCCATTCAGTGTGCGATTCGAGAGTGGCGCGACTTCAACTGATCGCGCTCCGCCGCTAATCGTTGGAACGCTGCTAGTCACAGTCGCCCGTGTTGCGGAGTATGAACGTGGCCGAGGGGAAAAAAGAGGCGTCGCAGACCGTTACGTGTGCAGAATTCGCAACAAGACTGATTCCACGTGGTAACGCTACCGTGTGCCAAGTAAAACATCTAGCGAACCCCCTGCTAGTTTGTGAAAATCACCACTCGGACGTCCTGAACTATGCTTCTCCTGAACAGGTGTGCAAAGAAAATTACGGTTGGAGAGGACTGACCATTTCCAAAACGGGTGGCATCTCATCGGGATCTCTCCATTTTAGCTTTCTTACAGGTTCGAAGCATTTTGAATCGAGAGCCGTGTCCTGCAACGTGATAAACTGCATCGATAGAGATTTTAGTAGGCAAGCTAGTGATTACCCG